AATTATTGTGTTCCTTGCAGCACCTTTTGCTCTAATTGTCAAGTGACACACAAGTGATACATGTGATGGTTCCAAAAGTGCCCCGGAGCTGCAGCCCTCCTGCACCCACTGAAGCCCTCACACCACTCGTGGCAGAGCAGTGGGATAGCACATCTCTGGGCAGCAACAGTCACACTGTCATCCAGACACCAACCACAGAAATCCTCATCTGTTTTCTCCACTTACTCCTTCACTCAAGAGAGCCAGACCAAATAATAAACCATCACACTTGAGTGTTATATATGATGATCGCTATATAAATGTCATCACATTTAAATCACAATCTGGTGTAACACAGAGGTCAGCCCTGCTTTGAGCAGGAGGTGGACTCCCTGACCTCCAGAGGTTCATCATAGACTAAATTATTGTGTGATTTGGTGATAGAAATTTTCCATCACAATCCTCCAACAGAAGTTACTGCAAACCATGTGGAAACAAAATTGATAAAAGGTACCTGCTGCTTTGAATTCGAAGCATTAAGGGAAGTAAATACGTTTAAGAGGAATTGCAGCCCTTAAGGTAGCACATGGAGCAATTCTGTAGCATTCAGCACAGCGCTGGTATGCAGTTCCAGCACAGGCAAGACTACTCCCATATCCATTGCTACTGGGTTTTACAGGGGCATCCAATTACCTTTTGTTGCATGGAAGATGGACTTTAAGGTGCAGTTACACCCATTCCTCCTGTACTCAGCCCTACTCTCCCTGGGGGAACCATATGGCCCCACCAGCACTGGAGGCAGGAGGCTGCCCTTGCATACAGCATGTGATAATCCCATATCAGAAAAACCACAGGGCCAGGGCATCACTGTTGCAATGGTGGACTCTCAAATCTGCATTTATTTTGCTAAAATCACAGGGATAGAAGTGGCACCACAGCCTCACATCATGAAACCAGCCTGGCTGCAGTGAGGATCAAGCTGTGCTTCTGTCAGGCTTTGGTGTTCCCAGGTGGAAGGAGTGCGAGCAGCACGGTGAAGTGTTGTTTTTACACAAGATTTATCAGTACGGTTAACACAGCACCACAGAGCTGCTACTGCAGCATGCCCTGAATGCTAATAGGTGCACAGAACGAAGAACGCTGCTGCAGGTATGAGAGGAAGGAATAGAGGCACAGGGTCACGGATGGGCTCATGAGAACAAGGCTTCAAAAGCCATGGAAGCACCCTATTACCATCATATGGGATTTACATGTTGCACTGCCCAGGGGACCTCACAATAAAGCATTTGGGACTTCTGCTGGGTGAGGATGTGTCTCATTCTGAGTGGTGTGCTCTCTCAGTGTTTAATGGGATGAGCGGTCTGTAGAGGTTCCCATGCAGAAGCTTTGTCAGGTGTCAGAGACATGTCAATGAATCTCCACTGATGTCCTACGGAAATCAAACAGGAGGCTAGGAAAATACAGCAGAAAGCATCCAAGAATCTCTAGGGAAAATGCTAGCAAAGTATCACGGGAAAAAGAAAGCTCGATGGGCTATCAAGAGGTCACCCAGTCCAGTGTTTCTCAGCATTTGGAGATCACTCCAACACTTTCAGAAGTTACAGACTTTCATGCATCATTGGCATAATCAGCCTATTTGCAAACCTTTCCAGTGTTTGGATTAATGCTAATAATATATATTATTTACTCTTTTTTTTTTCCACTCTTTATCATTATGGTTAACACAGCACCACAGAGCTGCTACTGCAGCATGCCCCGAATGCTAATAGGTGCACAGAAGGCAGAATGCTGCTGCAGGTACGAAAGGAAGTGATAGAGGCACAGGGTCATGGATAGGCCTGATGTTATTTACACTTTATTATATACACACATTTCTCTCATTTTTTCAATCTCCTGAATGATTTACTTTTTCCTGGTTTTCTTACGGGCCACTCTGTGTTTTGAAGACTCCTGGGCCAGTTCCCCAGCTCCTTAGCAAGGCTTCACCTTCCAAAACCATGAGCTACACGCAAGCCATCTGCATCCAACCATCACAAAATGCCTTCAGCAACATCTCCTTCACCTCCCTGCAGCCCCATGGGGATGTGGCCCACATGCCCACCTCAGTGGTTGTCCTCAGGCACCCTCTGACACAGCCTGGTTACACGCTGTTAAAAGCAGAGCAACACTCAACATATCCCTTGTTAAAGTGTTCCCACATCCACCCCAGCAAACAAAAGCAAATGAGTCATAGAGTCACAGAATCACCAAGATTGGAAAAGACTGCTAATAAGATGGGGGGAAAGACTTATCCCCACCAGAGGAGGAGCCACCCACCCGAGCAACCCCTGCACGCCACGGTCCTCCTGACCTCCCCCCATGCCCCAGACCTGCATGTAGGCTCCAGACCCCACACCCAGCAGAGGGGTATTTCCATATCCAGGCAGGCATGCAGAGCATTCCCACACCTTTCTCACGCCTCCTCCCCAGAGCACACCCAGCCCATCCAACTTCTTTCTAAACCATGGGAGCAACAATTCTCTGTGGCTTGTGCACATAACTAATGCACTGAGGTCTGTTTTTTGTTTAAATAGCTGTGAAAAGCACTGTGTGTGTTTTACCCAGAGATATATTACACTTGATTAGGCGGTGCGCTGGAGCGCAAATGGTACAACAGGAGACGGACGTGCTTAACTAGCGGTTTCAGCCTGCGCTCCGGTATTGGGAGGTCAAGGGAAAGATTAACTATATCTGACTGCCATGTCAAAACACTCAATTGGAGCATTTATAAACCCGCAGAACTAGTTGCCTCAGTTGGCGGAGCAGATTTATTTCCCTCTGCAGCTGCCTCAGAGCAAACGAGGGCACTTGCCCGGCCTTTTTTTTTTTTTTTTTTTTGCTTTCAGCCCCATCCAAAGGGCAAGCAGAGCTGAGATGCTCCAATAGAGCCACACACTTCCCAACAGCTGGCTGCTGTCTTCAGCCAAGATGTAAACACAGCAGGGAAAGCCTGCGATTTCAGTTGCCTCTGCCTATGGGTGCTTTGTGCTTCAAATCCAAGAACACTTTCTCAGCACTCAGACTCAACCTTACCCAACTTGTCACCCCCCTCTGCCATGCCAAACTCAGCAGTTACTGTGTGATGTGCAATGACAGCTTATTCCTCCTATTTCCTCTGTGGCTTCAGCATCAAGGTCAAGACTAGAGATGTTGCTATCATCCATCACACTGGAAGATAAAGGATGCCAAACATTCAGGGTCAGCCTATGTGGAGAGCGCCTACATTCTGCATCAAACACACTGCAAATACAATAAGGAACCACAATGCCCAGGCTCTGCTAAAGCAGCACTTTTAAGGATTTCAAAGAATAGAAGGAGCTACTGTGGGTCCAGGGATAAGACCAGCACATTCAATGTCCCATTGCACAGCATAGACATGCCCATGTTACCTTCCAGAAGGCAGCAGATGGGACTTGTCCACTCCAGTCACAGAAATATCTCTAGGCTGAGACTGCCTGGATAAGCCAGACACTCCATCACTCCAAGCAGTGCCGCAGGGGTGCAATTTTGTTTTTAAACTACACTTAGCAGCGTTCTGACTTGCAAGTTTCACTTTTTAAATAGTAAACACCTCTTGTAGGTGCCAGGGAGAATTTCAAAGCAGTTCAGTGGAGTCCTTTTACCTTCACAGCCCAGGGGCATATACACTGAAACAACAGCTGAAATCCAATTACTAAGGAATATTCTCAAGTACATTTCCATAGGTAATTTGTTAGTCTGTTAGAACATGCAAAGTGATCTCTCCCTACTTCTTGATGTTGTACCTCAGGCTCTTCGGTTGAAGACTTGTATCCAAATTGCATAGTAACACTACCACTGAAAAGGAGCCCACACAGCCACCCTCCTCTCAAGGGGAAGCTGCAGTCTGGAGCACACCCAGCATTGCCCAGGCCCAGCCCTTACCCATGACTTGACAAAATCCAGCAGCCAGCCATGCTCCAAGCCCTACTACCATCCGAGCTGCTCCCTGCCCAATCAGTTTGATACATAAAGACATAAGAAGCCTAAAAGTATTTTTCCTTCAGCATCCTGTTTATTGATTTAGCAGAGAGCTGACACAGACGTACAGTTCTCGAGACAAGCTGTAATGGAATCCCTTCATCTGCTGTCACTCACGATCGCACAAGCCGGCTGCTGCCATAATGTGGGGAGGGGCTGCCCTGCTCATTTGGGGGCTGTCACACAGCACAGCTGCTCACATTGCCCTCATTAGATTAGGGACATGCCCCAGACTTGCATCACACCCACGCTGCGCATGCCGTTACAACACATCTAGCACCATGCCCAGAAAACCACCATGTGCTGGGCACACGCAAAGCCTGCAGTGATGTACTTTGGTCCTCCTTGCAGGACCTTTGCCTCTGCTGTCTTTGCCCTGCTTGAGTTAACCTCACCCCACTGTGCCTTCATCCAAGTCAGCAGCACGCTGCAGGGATAAAGCAAGGGTTGGGTGCCAAGGGAGAAAGCTGGAGAGCCCATCGTCCGCCCTGTTCACGAGTCAGAATCATTATCACTGTTGAGGTACCGTTGGAAATTAGTCTGTTTTCAGTGGGGGATGGAATTAAATAGGCAAAGTTCGGGTCAGAGTGACAAGGAGCATAATCAGAAAAGAGCATAGATGAAATGCAATGAGTCCTACAGATAATTCAGGGCAAATTAAAGCATCTGAAATCCTACTGAGAGCCACTGATTTGGAATTATGAAGTTAACTTACAGCAATCATTTTCTATATGAAAGCAATTATGGATGGGTTAAAAGCTTCTGTTATTAGGGATTGTGTATGAACCTTCTGTGGCAGCCAATCTCCCTGGATGAAATTTTAGCCCTCATGAAAAGCTACTACATCCTGTATGCCAAATCTTGTTCACCCATCAGAAAGTCATTGAACATTATCCATTTTATTAACCAATGCAAATGCAGACAGCCAGGGAGAGGTAGATAGGGAACATCTTGCTCACCAATAAAACACATACACACAAATCACCATGGTTCACTTCCCAAAATAATCACATGAGCTCAAACACACAGCTGTGATGAATGGCAAATTTCCAAGTCTTAATGCATCAGAAAGCAGAAACATTGTTTGAAGTGGTCATCTCTTGAAAGGAAGAGAAAAGTCAAGGGAAAGCATGCAAGAAATCTGTTAGCACAGAGCTGTCCCCAGGAGCAGCTTGGCAGAAGGCCACCCAATGGGCACTGGGCACACAGGAGCTGAGCTCAGCATCCATCCTCGGCCTATGCCAGAAGGCAGCCCATTGCAGTTCAGCAGCAGGATAGAAAGGGCCAGCTGGGGTCTGGTGGCTTGGCTGCACCTGGGAGATGATCCTCATGTTCTCCACCACCCCAGAGCCAGCACCCAAGCCAGCAAGTTCACACAGCAAGAGCTCACGAGCAGAGCTGACAAAACCACTTACCCAAACAATCCATTATCCTGAGCTTCTTCCTTTTCTCTGTTCTTAATTGGGCTTTATTTCTTGTTTGGTGTTTTCTATGCAGTTAAATGAATTGACAGACTTACTGTTTCTGGAATGAAAATGAGGTTTTGGCTGAGACGTGCATGGTGATGAGCTGATGTGAGGGTACCTCCATTGCACGTCTTCAGAAGAAGAGTCAGAAAGGGGAACACCCACCAGAGACCTGCTGGAAGCCGAACATTCTCATACAGCCTGACTACCAGCAGCGCTGCAAGTAGTTGCACTGCTCCTGCTGCAATGGCACAGAGAGGCACACAGAGCAGCCTGGCCCTGGGGCAGGGAACAGCCCTGTGGCCAGCAGGCAGTGCAAGGCTGATGGGGCAAGGCTGCAAGGGAATCAATACAAAGCTCTGATGATCACTGTTGATCCGTGTTTAATGTTAGCTGCTATGATAAATAACATTTAGTAGCTAAACTCAGTTATAGTAACAGGGCACTGAACAACGTGTTGGAAAGACAATGAGAAAGCAGAACTTGCTGCATAATGCATGAGAAGGAAAACCACGGTTCTGACAGTAAGAGCCAGTTACAGAAAGGTTGGAGGCAAAAATCCTCATTGGATTCAACAGCACTCGGACTGAGTCCTAACAAGGACACCAAGCTGGTTCTCGTTACAGCAACTCTCTACTCCCTCTTTCCTGATATGACCCAAGGTCCCACTCCTCTCGCTCAACACAGAGGTCATGTGGTAGAAGGGCTTTAAGCTTGCACCCAGGGACTCCTCAGAGGCAGTTCTGTGCCCTCCTCCATCTCACCCATACAAGAAAGCCTCTAAGCATATCAGTATTGCCAGAGCATCCAGGTAAGTGAGGCTAAGCACTCGGGGCCAGGCAGAAGGGCTATGGCCAAGCCAGCTCTTGCCACCCTCCACAGCCAATGCAGTCCTTCCTGCAGCTTTGCCCTCTGGGCTGCTCTTTGTGCTTGTTCCCTGCACCAGCAGCAGGTGTAAAGGTAGTAAGTGAAACAGTCACATTCCTAAAAGTCCTGCATTAAAGTGGATTTGGATTTAGGATTCCTCTGTTGTCATGTAATTTTGGTTCAAAGATGTCTTTTGGGGAAGAATTCCACGGCTGAACACAGAAATGGTGAATGCTCACTGGGAAGCAACAGTAGGACAAATCATTTTCCCCTTGAGCTCGTCTTCTCTATGAAGTTTCACATGGCAAACCTAAGGCAAGAATTGCACCTATTTAGCACTATTGATCCATCTTACTTCAGTAACAAACCACATTAAGTTAAAATCAATACCAGCCACTCTTAAACTGATTTAGGAGTGTTCACACAAAGGGGCTCACGCCAATTTAAACAGATCTTTTTTGAAACCAATTTAGTTAAAACATGCAATCTAGGGGCTGAGCTGTGCTCTGAATGGCTTAAAGGCATTAATTCAAGTTCCATCAATAGCTCCCAAAGGACAGGACACCAAAGGTTAAGTGTCACCAACCAGTGTCTATCTTTCTTGGCAAAACATAAGGTCTCCATAGCTTCAAAAGCCAAAGAGCTGAGGAGAGAGCCAAGACCTTGGGTTTAAGGTACTTGTGTCGCACAAACTTGGCTTTAAAAAAAATAAAGATAGAAGATGCTCGAGCCAAGCAGATCTAAAAGCTGCATTTTACTCCTCTCCCTAGAATATTTACTCAGGGGGACTCACAAATCACAGATAGCTTTACTCACTATAAATCCACTGGTGCAGCACTTCATGGTTCATTCTGCCGCGGAATTGAAGTGGCTGAGGTTAGGAAACGTAACGTGTGGAAGTGTTTCTGAGCACCGTATATCACAGCAGCTTGGTTGTGCTTTGACATCTTCTGTTGGTTTAATATCCATGGGTCTGCGTGCCTGGGAAAGAGGCTTGAGGTGCTTCACTCCTTGGTGCTCACAAGTCTTGCCTTACACCACGACTTCATGGAGTCACAGGCTGCCCTTAGAGCTGGACTGTAAATCTCCTTGACAAGAAGTAGGAATAAGGATTCTGACTTGAAATGAGATGAGGCTTTAATGTTTAATCAAGTGAAAGCTCAGGGGTCTCCATCAGACACCAGCCACAGCTGCTTGGGGATAGATAGACCCACACTGGGTCTAAAATCTCTCTGAGAGGCAGAAAACACCACACTTGGTTGCTGCTCATCCACCTACAAAATAAGCACGTTTAGGCATCTCTTCTCCTAAGCTGTTTTTAAATCTGCCATTCTGAAGTAGTTTGGGGTTTCAGGCTCAGGCTGTAAATCTGAAGAGCTCTGTGATATTCCAGATACCCTAGAAAGGTTTTGAAATCCTTTTCTCTGTTGTTACTAGGTAATAATTGGTTTCAGTGAAGGATTCAAGACTTCTGCTTCAGCTGCTGAATTAAACACTGGACTGTTCCGGAAACAGAATCAAACCTTTTTCCCCTTCCTCCTTTAGAGCCAAGGAAATCCCACACGGGACCTGCAGAGCTGCCCCAGCGCTGGGGGAGCAGGGCACTACCCAGGGACAGGACCAGGAAGGTTACACTGGTGTGGAATAGAAGCAAGGGCAGCTTGTGTTCCTCACACATCATCTAATCTAAGCAAAAAGACCAACAATAAACCTACATCCTCAGCTACACCATGTCCTCTGTGAAGGGTATCTTCACTGCCAAGTGCCAAAGGCACACAGCCATCCTGTGCCTGCACTGACGGTACAGACAGGGAGGCAGTCACTCAGCTCTCTTCTGCTTGAGTGCAGAGTGTCTTCCTGCAGTGCCAGATGCACTTTGCAACAGGAAGATTTAAAACCCAGTTGCAAAATAAACTGCATGCAGTGATAAGTTAGTTCCAGAAAAAATGCTACAGGCCAAGTCATTTCTGCATGATCCCAGCAAAAGTAACAGCAAAAAGAAATTGGAATTTGTGGTTACAAAAGCAGTGCTTAAGTGCCTGTCAGCCTCATCCTCACAATCCTTTCTGCTGTATTGAACTTCAGTTGGAGACCGACATTTGAACCATCCTGCAGTCCCCTCATAGTGAGGCCTTACCTGAAGCACACAGAGCATTCTGAGTCCCAAGCAGAGAAAGAAGAGGTGCTCCATGTGTCAGGTTAAAGTGTGTGTGTGGGGGTTCCTTTTTGCCATGGCTCAGCGTGGTGGTACAGAAGATGCTGCAGAAGAGGTATTGGCTGTGCCCCTCGTTCCACAGCCCCCCTGCCCTCATTGCAGGCATCCCAAAGGGCCATAAACACCCACAAACACCCTGACTGTGAGTCAGCAGCCCAGCAAAGGGGAGCATGCAGCTTGAGGGCACCTGCTTCTCTCTGCAGCCATTGATTCAGCACGAGAGATTAAGCAGCTTTACCACATCCTGGCAATATGGTGATTAAAATAAAAACAAAATATCACCACAACACCGCGTTTGTTTAATCAGGATTTGCACAGCACCAAGATGCTCAGGCACTAGCAAGCACAGAACAGCATCATCACACGCTGACTGCCATGTGTCCAAATGCACTGCGATGCCCAGAGATCCCGGGAGGAACTGGGCTGCTCCAGAGCCCCCAGCTCACCACCACTGGTTCCTGGCACTCGAGGTACTGGGGATGCAGAGCTCCTCCAGCCACCCTGCCTCGGGGGTAAGCTGCAGCACTCTTCCCCCTTACCTGCTAAGCAATAAGCATGAGGGAGAGAACTTATTGCTTTTTAACAAGTGCCACAGCACATCCATTTCATTAATTTACACAGGAGGCGTGGGGGGGCTGTCTGCTCGATAAATTCTCCCAGCCTATTGCTTTGGAACAAACAACTTTGTGCATTCAGGCTGTGGATGTCACAGCAGAGGCTTTTATCCAAATGAGCTCTGCATTTGCCATGGAATGACTAAAATACTTCTCCAAAAAAGAAAAAAAAAAGAGGGTGGGGAGGGAAGCCACTCTACAGAAGGTGACGTATCACTGACACATTGTTTGAACTCCCAGTGGCATATTAAAAAATAAAAATAAACCCCCTCTGAACCACAGCTGCATCCTCAGTGTGTTATTTTAGCTCCAAGGGAAAGCAGGTCATGACTTTTTCTTCTCTCCCCCCCGCCCAAAGAGGAAAGCACGTTGGTTTTCCTGGTGCCCGATGTGGCCGTAGGGTGAGGAAAGGCAGTGGGGTGGCAACCCAGGGGGAACATGGGGCATCCCCAGCACAGCAGAGCTTCTGCCCTCCCCAAAGGGAAGCTGCCTACCAGCAGGGCTGTAGCAAAGCCAGAGAGAGGGATTTTACCTTCCACTCCACCTCTCTATTTCATATCACTTATACAGAAAGCAAACCAGAGACGATTACCAGCATGCACACACACCCTTCCCCTGCCATCCAGAGGAACAACTCAGACAAAGCCAACAGGAATGTTCCTGCAAAGCTCCCTGAGCACCAAATCCACATTTTAACCATGCTCTGTTCTCCATATGCCTCTTGGTAACAAATCCTGTTCTCTCCAGCCCAGCTGCACAGTTTGCACTTCACTGCTAGAAAATGAGCTGCAACCTCAATCTTCACGAGGGAATTGTCATTCCCATTCAGGCCCTGTGCCTCTTCCCCAGGTCTTCATGGCTGGTGGGCATCACAGCCGTTGTCCTCTGCAACCTCCAAAGGCAAATACTGGAGGTAGAGCTCGCAGGTGTTTGTTTAAACTATTGGCAAACACATGGAGTTTATCAGAAAGTGTTTGTTCTGATCTGTTTTGCCATCAGATACAGAGTGAAAGAGAAGGGTTTTGTTAAAAAGCATAGAAAAATACAAGGTTGTTACCAATAATCTGCTTTAAAATTCTCTTACTATAAAAAGACAGAGGAATTTTCTTATTTATGAAGAAATATTTGCCAATATTTTTCCACAAGTCTTTTTCCCCCCCCTACATTTCCCATAAATATCAACACTTCCACTGCCTCCAATTACCACGGTGCTCATCACCACCACCTCTAAGCACCTCACAAATCTCAATTAACCCTAATCATCCAGGGAGCAGATTAATGACTGCCTTGGACCCAGGCAGAGCAGCACAAGCATTGCCAGCACCCCACACTGACCCCAGCACTGGAGGAGAGGGGCTGACTGCCCAGCCTGCTGGCAGAGCTCCTTCAGCTGGAACAGGAAGGCTAATGGCACTTCATTATCCTCACTTATGTCTTTCTGCTCAACAACATACAATGCTAAGCCACTCCACCAGACTTTTTCGGGGACATTACAGAGTCTGAACCCAAAAATCTAGGTTTCACACCCAAATTAAATCCTATTAACTTCTCCCCTCCCCTGACGTCCCCTGTACAGCGGATCTCTCATCATCACTACCTCATAACTCTTTCTGGGCTGATCTACACAGGACCTAACCTACAACAAACTGCTGTTATTCTGCTCACACAGGTGAGGGCAGGAGCCCAGACAAAGCACTGCAGTTGGCTGCTGTCACAGGGACAAGAGGACTCCTCAGCCCAGCACCCACTCAGCTGCCATGCATCTTCTGCAGGAGACCCTCAGCAATGGGACCTTGCAGCCATGGAGCAGAGATAGGGCATGCTAATGCTGCCTTCAGAGCAAACGTTACAGGCTGCTTGCTACGTCACACACATATAATGCTAACAAGCATTTAAAAGGTGCACTTACAAAAGAAGGTAATATGAGATTAGGACTACCTGCATTTTGCCCTACAGCAGCCCTGCCACACGACTTGTTAAAATCAGAAAAATTAACATGGTGGAAGGGCGATACAGGAATGTAACAGCAAAGGGACTACAGCAGACAGAATGGTGTTACAAAGGAAAAGCGCTCACCCATCTCCAAACATCCAGGCTTGCAGGAAAGACTCCACAAGAGAGGAATCTCCAACCACACTTCCTTCTCCAGTGGCACTCAGCCCTTAAATGAGGTCTGAAAGAGGTGCAGCCAGCCTCCACCCCTTCTGGTCACACAGCTGAATTGCCTTCACCTGTGCTCCCAGGGCTGACCCGGTCCTTTCCCCAGGTGCTCAATCAGTGCTTCAGGCCACGACTCAGCAGTCACCACACAGGGCTTCAGGCTCAGAACTGCAGGCATTCTGCTTTGTTCCCCCATGACTCTCTCAAAAGAAAATACCCTTGCTTATTACCCCCCCTACAACGCAACACCCATTACCTTACCCTGTCCTGCCATGAGCACAACAGCAGGCAGTGGCTGCAGCCTCATCCACCAGCAAAGACCCCCCTGTGGACACACACCCGGCTGAGCCATCATCTTGCAGCAGTGCAAAGCCCAGCCCCTGCTGTGGCCTTAAATAGGAAATTCAGATCCTCTACTGCTAACTACGGCCACCCATCCTTCCTCCCTCGTTCATCAAAAACGAGATGCAGCCCAATCGATTAGCTAATGATTAAATCTAAGTTCCAGGGCTGGGAGCCTTCCAGTCCCCCATTTGCCACACTGGGATGAAGCCCCTTCCTAACAGCACTGTAAGTGCTGATGGGACTGCCCTGCCGTTCCCCTCACCTGCTCACCCCCAAGCTGCAAGCCTCCTGCTTGCTGAGCTCAGAGATTACTCTGCCAGCCAGGAAACCATGTGAGAGTGGTTGTGAGACCTGAAGTGAAAACAAAACTCGAGACAAAAGCATTCAAAGAGGCTGTGAAACGGCTCCGATTAGCAGCAGGCGACAAAGCGGCTTTCAGCCATGGCACACACCGCCCTCCCTTAGCTGCCGCTGCAGAATGGATTTGCTGAACTCGAGTGCCAAGGGAAAAATACAGAATTTGATCCATAGAGCAAATCCTACCTACAGGAGGCTCAGCCCCTCCTGTCCTATCCTGGCTGGAGCTCCTATCCTCCAGCTGACCCCAGGGATGCTCACTTTTATTTCTCCACTTGGAAAGGCGCACGGTGACATCACTTCATTGCCTATGGGAACAAATCAGTGCTTCCCTACTACTCGGCCCGGCGGCAGCGAGCTGTGGGGCAGCGCGACGTGACAGCCCCCAGCAAAAAGCAGAGATGTTAACGAGAGATGTCCCTCTGAGTCACAACACTGCAGGGACCCGCAGTGTACGGTCAGGGCTATCCGCCAGCTTTGCTTGGGGACTTCCTTAAGGTCAAGCCCTGCACTTAGAACTGCCCATCTGTGAGCAGAACAAACACTTGGCCACGTTTGTGCGCTCAAGCTGGAGATGATTCACTCGTAATGACTTTCAGAGGGAAAATTATGTGAGTAATACTTTGAGAAAGAAGGTATGAAAAACACAGGGAGGGAAATTTGTGATGTATTTAATAATTATGAGTGCTCACAGCATCATGATACTCATACAGAACCGCTTCCAGCGTTCCCAATTATTGCACTGTGCCGCTCTGGAGCGTGCTAACCCTAAAATGCTCAGCAAATACATTTGTGTCACTCAGTCCTATAAGTGTTTAGAGAATGACTTGGAGCACACATTAAACACTTCAGCTGCTAAAGCGAGTGTCAGCGCTGTCCCAGGAGCCTCTGAAGTAAATGATGTCGTTAACCACATCATGGGAATACTCGTATTAATCTCCTGGCTCTGTGCAAACCTGCTTTGCAGAGCAGAGCCACAGGTGCTGCAGCTCTTACACTTGGATTTACAGCACGCTGGGACACGGAGCAGGGCTGGGCAGAGGTGGCCCCATGGGTATGTGCCTGGGGACAGCAGTGGGATGCTGTGCTCCCAGCCTCCAGCTGCTCCTCACTCCTTGCCCTGTGTGCCAGACCTTGCTAGCACCGCATGGCACCAGGGCTCCTGACACGGCCGTAATGTAATTTCGCATGTGTTAATTTCATTTCTTGGCTTTGCTTAGTATCAGTTATTATTCTGCTGAGACTGTAAGCAGGAATGGGTGAAGCTGGTTCAGAGAAAACAGCCAAGCCCATGCCTTTCATTTCCCCTCTCTTTCCAGCTGCCGTGACCTTTGCCCATTATTACAACCAAAATTGAAATCAGCCTTCTCTTGCCAAGCCTCTGAAATACTCAGCTCTGAGTCAAATATATGAAAGAAGGGAACTGATTCAGACCACCACAAGCTGTTGTTTCAGTTCCACCATAGAGCAGTTCCAGCACCACCAGCTCTTTCCCTTCCGTTGCAAGCAGTAGAAAGAAACCATGGAGCAGCCCAGTTGGATGCTATTGGCATCGAGAACCCCGCAGCCCCACAGTCAGTGCTTCCATCCCCAACTGACCCTCTTTGTCCCAGCAGGGCTGGTCCCTGTCCATCACTGCCCAGATGGGACCCCAGCACCACCCTGCAGCTGAGCCAGGCACAGTCCCTTGACTCATAGCAGCCAGCTGGAGCTTCGTCCCTTGGAGAAGGACAGAAGTCCTACTTGAAGGGCTTCAGCATTCAGTCTCGCTTCAGTTTAGCTCGCATCCACCACAACAAAGCACTTGCACACCATCGCAGCTCTGGATGGGGACAGATTGCGCTGGTGTAAGTGCTTTCTCCAGTCTCACCATGCTTCAGGAACAGGGCCTTCTGATTGCACTGGTGTGGCTACACCCATGCAGACTTCTCCAGAGCCGAGCCCCCAGGAGAAAGGCTGTTATTTGTGCTCTGAGTCATAGAGTGCCTTGTCCAGTTCTTAAGTCTGATACTGATCCATATTTTTGTTAAGAGCATAAACGTAGCAGCTGAGCAAGTTGCTGGGAAGGCAAGTTTAGGGCTTTTTCCTCAAAGGTGATTTCAAAATATTTTCCAGCTCTGCCTTCTTTACTGTAAATACACCACCCTGGGTTCCAGGGGCCTTTGGGGAAAGGCGCCTGGTGTTGTAAGGAAGCATCTCCTCTGCCAGATCTGACATTTGAGAAGCTCCTACTTGCAGAACAACACAGGCACCTGTTGTTTGTTTTGGCAATCCCGAAATCGCGGTGTTCCCAGCATGCAGACATGGGCTGAGGGAGAGCTTGAGCACTCAATACTGAAAGATATCATGCTATTTAAATAAAAAAATCCTCTATGGCTCAGCAAAGATCGCATGGAAATACTACTTTGTAACTATCAAATAGCTGAGATTCAGGCCCAAAGGTGAAGGAAATTGTCTGTTCTTATCTCCATGGGGAGGAAGGCCTGCTTGCCAGGTCTGTGCTGAACAGAGCTGCTGGGAACACAGGCGGTTCTGGGTCAGGAGAGCTGGGATTTGCTCTGGAGCACCCTTCCCCACCCAGTCTTACGGAACCCAACCACATAACAGTGCCCCTACCCACTAGCAGGGACTTATCTCTTCTGCTGGGATCTGAGTCAAAACATCATGCCAGCTAGGCTGGAACATCATCTATGCCAAGGCTTTTTGCACTCTTCCAGAAAAGCAGCAGACCCAGGGATGCTAACTGCAGAGCTGTGCAGGAAATACCAGCCTGCTGCCTTCGCTCTTGGCTTCTCACCCGAAACACCTTTGTTTTGTACAGCCTTTATGCAGAAAATTTTTCCAGACACCCACGACAGTTGTGATTACTCACCTTAATGTTCAGCATTTATCCATATCTATCTCACAGTAGTTAACATACACAAGTCAGCCAGGCTTGGCAAATCTTTGCCCTTTCCTACATTATCGATCTGACATTTCCTCTGGAGTATTTCAACTGAGAATTAAATTAACGCCGTATCTACGGACGTTACCTGGTTCAGACAGACCAGCTGCTCAGACTGGCACACCTTCTGCTTAGTCAGTCACAATCTTCCCTTTATTAATCCACAAATTCTTGTTGTTTCTCCAAAGCAGAAGATGCCACTACTGGAAAGCACGAGACCCATCACTCCTGCCCCTCTCCAGCTCAGCCAAAGGAGCTCTGCTCCCTTCTTTGCTTCTCCTGTTGTCAGGTTAAACGTTAGTTAAACACGGTTTTCACTGTTAAACATTCCATTTTCCCATTTGCTTTCATGCCATGGCAATGCCATTGAGGGATCAGCAGGAAGAACCAGGGGCTTCCAGAAAGGCTGCTTGGCCTGGGGAAGAGGTGTCCTCCACATGGACTGCACCGCCTTCCCGGATTTATAGGGCTTTCTTTGGTATTTAATAAAGATGGCTGTTCTGACAATAAAGAGAAACATCTGCTGCCCTGTAAGAGCATGGCCTGCTCCAGCAGCCTCTGTGCTTCCTTCTTCAGAGAGCAGTTTGGATTGATTAAGACTTGAGCAAATACCTTATGCTTCTATACATCCCTGGCTTTATTGAAATCGTACCTGAAATCTCACAAAAACCCACCAAAACAAAATGCTACATTAAATGAAAGTCTGGAGGACATGTGAAGGCCCGAAACATCAAAGAAGTGCTTTCAAGGACAAAGACTCCATCCAAAGGCTTTTAAATTGCTCCAGATGCAAAGGAGGCCTTCAGATGGGGTCTGCAATGGTGCTGTGCACAGGACAGGGCTTTGCTCGTGACTGAGGGCAGTCCCAGTTTGTACACACACAAATGCAGGCTAACCAGGGCAAGACCCCCAGGGTTTGACTTGTGTTCTGTGCCCAACCTGAGGGTGAGAGGGGCTGCGTGCTGCCAGAAAGCTCAGAGATGGCACAGGAAGCAGAGGATGCCATAGCATCACAGAGCCAAGCTTGGTGCTGGAACAAGATGGGTATTCCATTTATTTGCAGGAACAATAGTAAATACAAAAAAAAAAAAAAAAAAAAACCAAACCCACACCAAACAACAAAACACAAACCTGCACTGATGGCTTTTATCACTTCTAAGGCTCTGAATAGGAATCAGCACAGACTTGTTGGCTCCAAGCACAAAACACCTCTAGGTAAATAAAAATGCCACGTAACAGGAGTTGGAACTAGATGACGTTAAAAGTCCCTTCCAACTCAAACCAGTCTACGATTCTACGTATTGCCAAGGTTATTCCTCCGT